CTGAATTCGTGATGGGTGACAGTTAAAACACAGAATTTAATTTCATGTACAGAATTACTAAAAATATTGTATAAAATTAACTTCAGGCTATATGTATGAAATATATATGAAAAATAAATGAATTTGGCCAGGCATGGTAGCTCACGCCTGTAATCCCAGCACTTTGGGGGGCTGAAGTGGGTCAGGACATCAAGACCATCCGGCTAACATGGTGAAACCCCGTTTCTACTAAAAACACAAAAAAATTAGCCAGGCATGATGGCGGGCGCCTGTAGTCCCAGCTACTCAGGAGGCTGAGTGGGAGAATGGTGTGAACCCGGGAGGTGGAGCTTGCATTGAGCCAAGATCGTGCCACTGCACTCCAGCCTGGGGGTGACAGAGCGAGACTCCATCTCAAAAAAAAAAAGAAAAATAAATGAATTCTGTGTTTAGATTTGGGCCCTATCCCCAAGATAGCTCAATATGCAGATATTCCAGAATCCAAAAAAAAAAAAAAAAAAATCAAAATCTGAAACACTTCTTGGTCATCTCAGATTTCAGATGAGGGATACTGAACCTGTAGTGGATTCAGCCCTTAGGTCTATTTGAATCATATCTCTTGTCTTTTAATTAAGCATTTTAAGTCAAATGATTAGGAGGAAGAGTTAGGGGGTACCAGGAATAGAAGGGCCTGGAGTCTTCAGAGAAATAGTTGCCATAGGTCTTTGGTTCACTTAATGAGCCAGGAGATCCTTCCTCAAGGATCCCTGTCATGGCCTCTGAATAATAGTAATGATACTACTGATAGACAGTATTCATTGGTTCAGCACATAATTACATGCCAGGCCCTACGCTAAGTACTTTGTGTGCATTAATTCACAAAAAGCCTTATGAGATAGTGTTACGTTTATCCCTGTTGTACACAAAGGAGACTAGTAGATCTTTCCCCATCTGACAGTCCTAGCTTTGATTTTTTTTTTTTTTCCTTCTAAATTGGTTAAGGCAAGCATTGGTAATTATAAGATGAAACAGTTTGGAGTATACATTGAACACCTCATTCACTTTTATTATAATTATGTCATCTTAAACTAGAGCTCTGGCTTGATGTACTTGAGAGAAGGGGAGGGAGGCATGTGAGATATCATTTGCCTTGATTTGGGAATCCTGTTCTAACAGGATTAGGAGTGGGGCAGGGTGACCAGACATTTTCCTAAATTGTATATTTTTTTCCAGGCTCCTTGAAATAGTAAGATTTCCTTCCTCTCCTAAGGAATACCTTTCTCCCAGACTCCCAAGTCTGCATCTGTCCCCTACACTACTGTGGTACTTTCTCACTAATCCTTCTGCCACTTATCTGTGATGTATTTGTTGGTTGTCTCTTTCTAAGACTCACATTGTTATTTACTTGCCTTAAATGTGGCAAGGATCTGGAATCTATATGTGTATATATATAGTACTTTCATTACACTAAAAACTAGGTTAATTTTTGTGTATTGAAAAGACAATGCTGACTCCTTAATTTGGCATATGAGGCTTTTCCAGTCTTCTCTCCTATACCTAATGCTGCACCACACTGGACCTCTTTTGATAATGCCTCTCTACTCTCTGTGTTCTTCAGAACTTCCTCTTTACTCCCATTTCCAGGCATATTCTGTCCAAGCCAAGGTGGCTTGGAGGACAATGTATGTATACAGCACATTGTAGTCTGTGTTATGGATGTTTACAGGATCGGGTCTTGGTTCTTTTTCTTTTTTTGAGACAGGGTCTTGCTCTGTCACCCGTGCTAGAGTGCAGTGGCACAATCTCTGCTCACTGCAACCTCTGCCTCCTGGGTTCAAGCATTCCTCCTACCTCAGCTTCCTTAGTAACTGGGACTACTGGCGTGCACTACCATACCTGTCTAATGTTACGTATTTTTTTGTAGAAACAGGGTTTTGCTGTGTTGCCCAGGCTGGTCTTGAACTCCTGCCTCAAACATTCCACCTGTCCCGGCCTCCCAAAAGTTTTTTTCCAGACTTCAAAACTTTATTTTGATTTAGTCTGTGTCTAATCTGCTGCCCCTTGGGGTGCTAACTATAGAGAGCAGGCAGTCGGCTAATGTGTATTAAGCAGTGAAGAATGAAGCATGTAGCCTTAAGATATGCAGATTGTGCCAGGCAGTGGCAAGCACCTGTAGTCTCAGCTACTCGGGAGGCCAAGGTGGGAGGAGCACTTGAGCCCAGGAGTCTCAAGTCCAGCTTGGGCAACACAGTGAGACCTCCTCTCTGTAGATTATAAGTATTTGCATCTTAGTCTTCATGAAGTTGCCTTCCTGAAATTGGGAATCGTCTTAGAAATCTACAGTTGTGAAAAGGGCCTTGTGTGTCACTGGATTTAACAGTTCTCAATGGCACCACTCTAGAGTTTGGGGAAACAACCTGCAGGATTGTGTATTTTGGTCTTCACAGTTTGCAGAGGGTACCAGTCCTTTCAATAATTGGAGGCTGATGTGAGGCTCAAGTTTGTCCCTTTAAGGTCATCCTGCAGAGTTGATAAAACTGTAAATGCTCTTGGTCATTCTCATGCTTACTTGGATTTCAGTAGGCCAAACAAAGTGACATCAGGCCTGTTCTTGTTTTGTTTTGATGTGACCAGCTTATATATTAAGTGCCAGTTTCATTACTTGTTCTATTTTTGTTTTCCCCAAGATAATTGAGGATAATAGAACTGATGAGGCAGGCTCCTCTTAAAAAGATATGTCAACCAATATTTCATTGCTTCTTATGTTGGGCATTGACTGTGGAGAGTGAGGGAGACTGAAGAATAGTACCTACATTTCTGCATTGGGCATCTGGTGGATGGTAGTGTTATTTACTGAGATAGGGAATACCAAAAGAATAGTTTTTGTGTAAGGGTTCATGATTTTATATATGTATATATAGGATTTCTTTTTTCATTCAGTAAGTAGTGTCTTGCCCATTTTCTCATGTCAGTTAATAAATAAATAATTAGTGCCAAAATAAGTATGTACTTATAATGACCACATACAGTTGTATAACTTAATCAGTTTGGGTGGTTTTACCACTGTTGGTACTTACCTCTCTTGTATTTAATAGTTAATGTTTCCAGATACAAAATAACTACTGTATGCCATGCAAAATGCTTTATATATGTCATCAAAAAGTTTGTATCCTTTTTCCATTTAGCAAGTGGGGAAACTGAGGCATAGAGGTTAAGTAACTGTGACATCACACAGCCAGTAAATGGCAGAATGAAAATTTTTTAAAACAGCTGTATTGACATAAAATCTACCTACCCTAAAGTTAACCTTTAATGTACAGTTCATGGGTTTTTAGTCCAGTTGACTCTTGGACAGTGTGGGAGTTAGGAGGACCAACCCCCCACAGTCAAAAATCTGTGTATAACTTTGACTCCCCCAAAACTTAACTAGTAGCCTGCTGTTGACCAGAAGCCTTACCAATAACATGAACAGTTGATCGCATATTTTGTATGTTACATGTATTATATACTGTATTCTTACAATAAAGTAAGCTAGAGAAAAAATATTACTAGAAAATCATAAGAAAATATATTTACTGTTCATTAAGTGGAAGTGGATCATAAAGATCTTCTTATTTGCCATCTTCACATTGAGCAGGCTGAGGAAGAGGGGGGATTGATTGGTCTTGCTGTCTCGGGGTGGCAGAGATGGAAGGATGTGGAGGGGATGGAAGGAGAAGCAGGTACAGTCAGTGTAACTTTACAGAAATAATTTGTCTGACTTTTTGCTTTTTCATTTCTGTAAAAATGTTTCTATGTGGTACCAATCCTTCTTCCACTGTTTGCATTAGTTTCAGTGCCTGTATAATAGAAGAGTCCATATTGTAAAAGAAGTCAAAAGCAGTCTTGAATAATCGGAACCCTTTGCCAGATCATCTAATGTCAATTTGTTTTCTGGCATTGCTACTTCAACATCGTCTTCCTTGTCTGGTACTGGTTTGGAGCACTCATCTCTATCAAATTGTCTTCTGCTAATTCGTCTGGTATGGTGTCTGTTAACTCTTGGATTTCTCCAAGATCCATGTCTTGGAAACCTTCACTCCCAACCTTTTTTGTCATATCTACAGTCTCTTTCATGATTTCCTGTATTGGCTCTGTGGTAAATCCTGTGAAGTCATGTACAACATCTGCACACAGTTTTCTTTAGCAGGAATTTATTGTTTTGGGCATGATGGCTTTCATGGATTTTTCTGTAACAGTGATGGCATTGTCACTGGTGTAATCCTTCCAGACTTTCATGACATTCTCTCTGTTGGGGTTCTCTTCCACGCATTAACAATCCTTTCCATAGAGTAGCATGTGTAATGAGCCTTAAAGGTCCTTATGACCCCTTGATCTGGAGGCTGACTTAGAGATGTTGTATTTGGGGGCATGTATACCTCTTTGTTGTTGAATTTATGGCATTCTGGGTAGCCAGGGGCATTGTCCAGTATTTAAAGAACTTCTGAGTACCTTGCTTATCATAAACACTCATTAAGTGTTTTATTATATAAAAAAGTCCTTTACTGGCAAGGTAATTTCTGACTCTAGGAACAAAATATCAATTGAACCAATTCAGAAAAAGGGTTCTTGTTATCTAGACCTTCTTGTTGTACAACGAAAGACTGGCAGCTGGTGTTTTATTTTCCCTTAAGGTCCAGAGGTTAGCAGCTTTATAGATAAAGGCAATCCTAATCATAAACCTGACGATATTTGTAGAAAACTAGTAGAGTTAGCCTACCCCTTCTTGCCTTAAATCCTGGTACTTGATTCTTCTCCTTAATAATATCCTTTGTGGAAATTTTTCCAAGAATTGGCCAAGAATATTTTGGTATTTTTTTCTTACAGTTCCGAGTACTTAGCTCATAGTAAACACTCATTGAGTGTTTTAATATATAAAGAAGATATTTAAGTCCTTCCTACTTTATCTAATTCATAGTGTGGAAAGAAGGGGTCACAGAGGAGTGTAGAAAACCTAAATATCTTTTTTTTTCTATGTCTAGGAAGAAGAAGCAGGAAGGATAAAAGATTGCTGGGACAACCAGGAAGCACCTGCTCTCTCCACGTGTAGCAATGCCAATATCTTTCGAAGGATAAATGCCATATTGGATAATTCTCTGGATTTCAGTAGAGTCTGCACTACACCTATAAACCGAGGAATTCATGATCATTTGCCAGGTGATTTAGATTTGAAAACTTGAACGTGGTAGGCATCTGTACAGATCTGCTTCTAGGTAGTGCATGTAAGAGGTCTTCCTCGGAAAGCTTGTGAAGAACAATGTTGAGCTGCCAGCAACACTTGCCTTTTTGTGGTTTAGTTTATGGATTGAATCCCTCTTTGGGTGAAGACTACCTTTAATTAGGATGTGTAAACCTACTTTATGTTACACAGAAAGGTTGGGGAAAAAAGAACAGGTCACAGATAACATGAGTATTTATATAAAGAGATATAATGTGAATTACATATGTTACAGATTTTCTGGTAGCCATGTTAAAATTAAGATACAGATGAAATTAATATTTTATTTAACCCAATATATGATAATATGACAACATTTAATTAATATAAAAACAATGAGATTTTTTATTGTTAGTACTATGACTTCAAAATCCAGTGTGGATCTTACAAGCTTATCTCAGCATGAACATTTCAGGTGTTTAGTGGCTACTGCAACAGCTTTTAAACATGAGTCAGCATGCATTTAGTTTCTATGATCTACTGGATACTCCAAGGAATAGTGGAGATAGAGGGCAGCATCTTCTGAAGTTGACTCTTTCCAAGAGGTGTGGATGTCCTAACGGTGTTTCATTTTGTGGGAGTTGCAACCCATTATAAGAACGTTGAAGTGTTTTTGGTTTGAGTTATTTATTTTGTTTTCGTATTTTCTTTTCCTTTTTTTTTTTTGAGACAGAGTCTCGCTCTGTCCCCAGGCTGGAGTGCCGTGGTGTGATCTCGGCTCACTGCAACCACTGACTCCCTGGTTCAAGTGGTTATCCTGCCTCAGCCTCCCTAGTAGCTGGGATTACAGGCACGCACCACCATGCCCAGCTAATTTTTGTATATTTAGTAGAGACGGGGTTTCACATGTTGGCCAGGATGGTCTCGATCTCCTGACCTTGTGATCTGCCTGCCGTGGCCTGCCAAAATGCTGGGATTACAGGCATGAGCCACTGCGCCTGGCCTTTATTTTATATTTTTTTTCTCTTTCTTTTCTTTCAAGGCAGAGTCTCGCTCTGTCGCCCAGGCTGGAATGCAGTGGTGCGATCTCAGCTCACTGTAACCTCCGCTTCCTGGGTTCAAGCAATTCTCCTGCCTCAGCCTCCCAAGTAGCTGGGATTACAGGCACCCGCCACCACACCTGGCTAATTTTTTGTAGTTTTAGTAGAGATGGGATTTCACCCTGTTGGGCAGGCTGGTCTCAAACTCCTGACTTTAGGTGATCCACCCACCTCGGCCTCCCAAAGTGCTGGGATTACAGGTGTGAGCCACTGTGCCTGGCCTGTTTGAGTTATTTTAGGTGAAAGAATATATTTTTAATTTTTAAAAATGGACCTTGAAAACAATTAGCAACAATGGGGATTCTCAAACCAAGGACTGATAATTACAGTCGACCCTTGAGCAACACTACTTTGAACTGTGCAGGTCCACTTATATGCAGATGTTTTTCAACCAAAGCTGGAAAATGTGATATTCAAGGGATGTAAAACCCACATATATGGAGGGCTGACTTTTCTGGTATAGGTGGGTTCCTCAGAACCAACTGTGAGACTTGAGTATGTGTGAATTTTGGTATACTGTAGGGGTCCCGGAACCAATTCCCTACATACACCAAAGGACAACTACTGTTTTTAGTTGTAAATTCTTTAATTTATTTTTTAGCTTGGCCTTAGAAATAATTCCCACAAAAATGTAGGAGTATGTGAGCATTAAATAGCTTAATGTTTGAGGGAGAGGCTTATTAAGGAAGAGAGTAACTTGTAGCATTTGCTTTTGTCATACAGGAAGGCAAATGAGAGAAGGGCATACTCGGGGGTTAGGGTAGTTTTTGTCTCTTCTGACTTCTACAAAAGAAAAATATAAGTCATGAGCTAACCCAGTTCTCTTTTAGGGTTATGCTGAGTTAAAAGTTCAGGGAGTCATCTTTCTTAGTTCTACTACATGATCTCTTTTTCTCCTTTGAGAAAATTGCATGTATTGTGTCCCAGTAAGAATGACAGGCCAGACATGATGACTTAAACCTGTAATTGAGGCTGGAGCAGGTGGATCACTTGAAGCCAGGAGTTCGAGACCAACCTGGGCAACATAGTGAAACCCTGTCTACAAAAAAAATAGAAAAATTAGCAGAATGTGGTGTGTGCACCTAGTTGCAGCTACTTGGAGAATGAGGTGGGAAGATCACTTGAGTCTGGGAGGTCGAGGCTGCAGTGAACCGTGGTTGTGCCACTGTACTATACAGCCTGGGTGACAGAACAGGACCCCTGCCCACCTCCACCAAAAAATAAAAGCATGACACTCAACAATTCAACAATGGCTTAAACCTCATTGGGTTGTTTCAGAGATGCTGGAAACTTTTCTAGTTTACAGGAAAATATTTTTCAGCTAATACTAGGTGTTGGACCTAAGGGAAAGGACGCATGATTGATAGGAGAGGAGCTTTCAGGAATGTATGTTTGCAGCTGTCCAGGGATCCCAGTGACTTTACTGGTAAGATGCCAGGGTCTGGTGAGGGTGTTGTTACCATTATACTCTGCCCAGGGTCAGTAGCTGAAGTACAAGTTACAGACTTCTCAGGCTCTTCAACTCCTTTTCAGCTTCTTAGAACCTTCTAAGAGAAACAGGAGGAAGATCTTGAGGAAATTGGGAAACCTGGGTTCTAAGCTTGACCCTGGGCAGTGAGATAAAAGGTCAGTTTTCTCAGCTGTAGGACAGAATGGTACCTGTTCAACCTGACTCACAGGTGTCTTATGGGAGTCAGATGTTAAGACAACACTGCAGATTTAAGGAAACTCAAGAAATTGTAGGAAAGGTTTCTGTCAGAGGTAGCTGATGTTTTTGAGCCCTTCACATATATCTAGCCCCTCCCTTGTGTGGTCAGCTCTCTGCTTTCCACTTGTGATTCAGCTCAGGGCTGTGGGCCTGTGTTCTCGAGTGGTGAAACAAGGATGCCTGGCCTACAGTAGAGAGCATTTTTCCTGTGTTCACCAGCAAAAATACCAACCTTGTGGTTAATGAGGAAGTAAACTAGGATATATATTTTTCTATGAAGAACCTTAAGAAATAACCCAAACTTGTAGCTTCTGATCAAAAGTAATTTTGTTACTTGAAGGAAATAATCAGAATTATGAAAACCTAAGATTGTTTATGGACAGCATTATAACTAGGGACAATTTGGTAACAGAATGTTAAGTAAATGATAGGAAAGTTGTATCATGGAGTATCCTGTACCATAAAATATAATGTTTGTAGAAGACTACTTAATGGCAAAGAAAGATAACTACGGTGTCTGAAATGAAAAAAACAAAGTGTAAGACAGGTGTAAAAAAGCAAAATGTATAAAAGCAAAGTGTAAAAAGAATGGCCTTAAGTATATATGCATAGAAAAACCCTGAAGTGGTATAAATGTGACAGTGAAGGTGGGTAATACAGAAAAAAATTATGGGTAATTTTTTTTTTTCCTGAGACGGAATCCCGCTCTGTTGTCCAGGCTGAAGTGCAGTGGCATGATCTCGGCTCACTGCAACCTCCGACTCCCGGGTCCAAGTGATTCTTCTGTGTCGGTCTCCTGAGTAACTGGGATTACAGGTGTGCGCCACCATGCCTGGCTAATTTTTGTATTAGTAGAGATGGGGTTTCACCACATTGGCCAGGCTGGTCTTGAACTCCTGACCTCAAGTGATCCACCTGCCTTGGCCTTCCAAACTTCTGGAATTACAGACATGAGCCACCGCACCTGGCTGGGTAATTTTTTTCTGTATACTTTTCCCCACTAGTTCTTCTAAAACAAACATTTTATAATAAATTTTCAAATGGCGTATATCCTAACACAGTGTTTCACATTACTAGTTGCATGCATAACCCAGTTGGTAAAACATCATTGGAAAAGTGCTGTGATAGGGTCAGGGAGAGATTGGTTTAGTTGAGAACTAGGAAACACTTCTGGTCAAAGCAGCATTTGAAATAGGCTTTGAAGAGAATTAAAATTACTTTAGTCTTAACTGGAGGTTGAGTATATTTTTTTTTTTTCTATTGCCCCAGAATTGGCCATTAGGGCCCAAAGCTGAGAATAAAGAGCTGTTAAGTGAGCTGTGGTGTAATGAGAATCCCTAAGAGGTGGGACCAGATACCTCCTTCCAGGGCTTACCTAAAGGTCACAGAGCTGTCCCTCCTACCACAAACATTAGCTCAACCCTTCCCTGGCCTATAAAGAGGATCACATAAGGAGGGGGTAGCATTTGAAGTGATTCCCTCCCGTCTGTGGAGGAGGGTGGGATAGGATGTGGCTTTGTTGTTCAAGCCAAGCAAGAGGGTCTTCCAAGAGAAATATTTGTGTAGATGGAGAATGCTTCCAAGAAAGAAGACAAGGTTGAACCCCTGGTTGGACAACTGACTTGCTGTCTGTCCCTGACTGAATAGAGATTAATGAGAAATTAAGAGATGTGGGCTGGGTGCAGTGACTCACGCCTGTAATCCCAGCACTTTGGGAGGCGGGCAGATCACTTGAGGTCAGGAGTTCGAGACTAGCCTGACCAACATGGTGAAACTTTGTCTCTACTAAAAATACAAAGATTAACTGGGCATGATGGTGTGTGCCTGTAGTCCGGGAGGCTGAGGCAGGAGAATTTCTTGAACCTGGGAGTTGGAGGTTGCAGTGAGCCAAGGTCGCACCACTGCACTCCAGCCTGGGTGATAGAGTGAGACTCTGGAGAGAGATGTGGTGGGGTGGGGAAAGAGAGTAGCTGGAGCATCTGAATTCTCTGTTTATATCAAGAAAGTTGTGATTTGCTGTGGTTTAAGAGGGTTTTGCAAAGGCCTGAGCTTTTGGGCTGGTACCCCACCAAGAAGGCCCTTGTTGCATGGTGGGTGGTGGGAGTTAGGGTGGGGCTGGAAGGTAAGGCCAGAGCTGGATTTCCTACCCCAACAACTGTCCAGTGGAGATGAGAGGGATGTCTGCCATCTA